TTTTAGTCATAATGGAACATTACTAACGTGTGCAGAGCGTATAAATAAAACTCTTTCGAAACTTGTAATGTTAACATTAGTCATTTGATCGAGATATATTTGTTTACATGCATGGATTTTTTCGTTTTTATTTGTTGACAGTCTATATTCATTTGAATTATTTTTAACTATATTAGTTCGATATGTTTTTCATTAATGCGTTTTTTCAATCTTGTTGATTATATATGGCGGATATTATAACAAAATATGGTAACATACATTGTTTTTAATTTTATTATAATTTTACTAGCGAATGTAAATCAAAGCATGGAACATGATATAAGAGGTTTTAATTTCCGTGATAATTATAATCATTAATTTAATATGGTTTATAACTTATTATGTTACAGATTGTATCGTTTATACGTACAATATGTTTGATAACAATAAATAAATATAACGTAACGATTATTACGAGTTGAGTTGGTAATTATTTTTCTAGGGCAGTTCTTGTTCCTTAATATTTATTTTTTATTACTTCGTAAATAAGGTACAGAATTCCATTTACACAACTTATAAGTACTATAAATATCTAAAGTGGGTATGCCCAAGTGTTAAACATAAAATAATGTGACCTTGCCTACTTATTAAAACTCGAGCGTTGTACTTCAATAAAAATATGTTAGTTTTCATTAAATCGATGAATATTTGAACGAAAATTTAAATAAATTATTTAAAATATTGTATGCGTTCGTTCAATTTAGACGTATAAGCTCGAGAGTCTGCCAAGAATTGGCAATAAAAATTTATTGGGGTAACAAATACAGAATATTATTATTATAATATAGCAATGGTAATAATTATTATATAATATAATAGGAATTATTAATAATGATGATAGTAAAAGAGCGCAATACCAATTTATGATCGACATACTCGGTGTCGGTGGAATTCGCGTAAGTGTTATCGGCGTTTAATAATTAAAACTTTTGTTACTCACCGTTAATTTCCATGGATCTAAAACTTTCACCAAAAAAAAATCACAAATAATATAATATTATTACTTTGTTACAATGGTAAAGTCGTAGTTCAACGAATAACATTTGTTTAATAGTTTAATGACTGTTTTGTCTAAACGATGGAAGCAGAGACGGTGAATAGAAAACGTTCTCCGATCTCGGACTTGTAAAAACATATATATACTCTTCATTAGTTTTTCAATAAGCACAACGCATGCATGGGGTGTTCTATTGAATAGAAAAAAAAAAACAATTAAAATAATTGTATTGAATTTTTAGCCTAAAAAAATATAATCAAAATTATTTCGTGCAAGCAAAATGTACTATACCTATTTCATATTACCATAATCGAATGTAACCCGAACCATTCCGTTAGTCCTTGACACGTCGAAAGTGAACATAATATTGCAATACGTAAATATTGTAATAAAATAATTAAATGGATTAATATGCGTTAATGAATAATAACATACACCACTGTGTTAATTATACGATATAACCACGGCGTGCGTGTATATAAGCGTTATAATTATTATTGTTGTGAATACGGGTGTGTACCTTTATGAGTTTGAATTATGATTTATGCACGAGCGCGCGTATGTGTGTCAAAATGCTTTCCATCCTGTCGTCGTTTATTTTTTTTTTATAAATACGTGCATAATTGATGGCGTCTTTGAAGGCTGAGGCATCTCCCCCCCTGCAGTTTAAGTTTACTAGAAAATAACCTTACTATTCAGTAATCGGGAAAAAATATTTCATGTTAAACCACTAAAAGTAGTATGTACTTGTTAATATGTACGAAAACAAACAATGTTGCTATTATGAAAATATACGTGTAGGTTAGTATATTTTATCGCATTGAACTTGTAGTGCTCATAGTTGGTTTTACTATGATATGTATTTTAGTTTTTGTCTCTTAGTACACATTTACGACCAGAACGATTACTTCGATCATCACAATCATGAGGGATTTCTGATAAAGAATGGTGATAGTCGGTACTTTGAGGTAGGTATTTTTTTGAACGACTTTACACTTGTACATCGTATAAGCAGCCTGTGAGTACCAGCGTATTACTTTCATACGAGCACAATTTTTATCGATCATGATTTCTGTTAGATAATAAAAAAATCGTATGCTTAATCCAACGGTTCTCAAACTGTGCTCTGCGTAAAAAATTTAGAAGCTCCGTGGCTCCGTGGGCACATCTGAATTATTTAAATTCAAATATTATTATATTCTTGTTATCGAAGAAAAACACTGGTATGATTACTTGAATTGTGCGTTTTTTTTTTACCGAACACCCATTTAAATAAAATTTGGTTCCTGATTTAATTTATAAGTACAAGGTAAAATTATCAAAATAAAATATTTTTAAAAAAAAAAAATACATTTTTTGGATGTGTGTTTGTCTCGACATGCAATTTATAGTTTCGCATTGTTAAAGGAATATTTAAAGTCAATCAATGATAATATTGATGAATTTGATGAAATATTTTTACATCATTTTTTGAATTTACTTTTAGAAATATAAGGGCTCAGCGTACAGAAAATGATGAGAACCATTGGTTTAATCAAACATTGTTGCGCTGTCTGCCGTATCGTTTGTTTTGTTTCCATCTATTTGGTAATTTACCGTCTATGACGTGTTTACCGGTTACCGGTCACAAGACGTGTTCCGCCGAAATTTCCGTATGAGATCATGTTTTTTCCGCTAGACAGAACGCACGATCGCCACCATAGCTGATCATTATGATCCATCGTGAATTCTTGTGCGAAACATGTGTCCGAGTTACTTTCGCCGACCGGGAACGATTATAATACACGCGTGATTCACAGGCTTAACGTACGTACATTACGTCTCGTTGACAATAAAAATAATACGTTTTTCGATTAAAACCTTCATCTCACCTATAGCGCTTACAGTACATCCGTTTCGATGAAATTCGCTACATTTCTGACGATCATATTAAACGCGTCACGACTATACGGTCGCCACAACATTAACGTATCCGATGTCCATTATGAGTTGTATACTTGTAGACATATACGTGGGAATGAATATTATAATATATATGTATTTTAAATATTATTGCATTTCCGTCTTTCACGCGTACAATGCGAAGAACAAAAGTAATTTTCGTTAAGCGAAACGCGGTAACGGGGAATGAATAATATTAATAATAATGCTTGGACATGGAAACCAATGAAAGATTGTTCAATACTTCCGCGTATAGTTTTTTTTTTCTACATTAGAAGTATTTTAGCATTAATGTAAAGGGTTCTGATAAACCGAAAGATACATTTCGAAATCAGCGGTAACAGTATAATATTATTGTGAGTCGATGGAATTGAGGTTTAACCACAATCGTTGACCTTACTACCAGTCGGGTGCACTCAGGTCACCCGGATAAATAATCACTAGTGGTGCTTGACCCCCGTCAACATTTTACTAACGAATTCGACCGGGATAAATGTTCATTGGGTACATTGGGTGTATTACGAAAATTCGCAGGCGTGTGTAGTACGCGCCTTCGGATTTATCGACGGAGAGACGTGCACGTCAACAACCGCTGATCATAGTAGCCTGGTGGCTTAAGGCGGTGCTATACGATGCGTCTAATACCTTCGAACGTTGGCTACACGATAGTTCGTCACATTGTGTAGTGATAATCCATAAGCAGGGGTGGAACTAGGGGATGGAAAACTAGGACTCATTAAAAACTAATTTGATATTTTTAACTTTGTTAAATACTGATATTAGGTTAAAGCTCAAAAGTATGATTGTATATTAATTATCAGAAAAAAATTCTAGAGAAGAGAATTTGATTATTGGTCTATGATAGGGCGTAATTTTAACATTTTCCCTGGGCGTAAAAATGTCTAGTTCCACCTCTATCCATAAGTCGAGTGACAAATGTTTGTGTTCAACGTTGGTGTTAGAACGATTACCGCTGAAAGTCGATATTTTTGACCCGCCGTTAAAGGAGTATCCTTTAGAACGTTGGAAGTTATTCGCAATTAGTGTTTGGTATACGGCCGCACGATGTGACATGTGTAATCCTGTATCCATTGTTGAATTACCGTTCTCTAGTTTTGTTTAAAGTTAGTACCATTCTCGATGCCATTCAGTTTGCATATGTTTTTTTTGCGTGAAAATGAAAATCTTTATAATTGGAAAATTCACCAACAATAAACGCTCCTAACAATCCTCTTTTACAACAGGGCGAAAAATAACACAATTTTCGAATGATTCACATTTTAAATGTCTGGAATAGACTAATAAGCGATATTGTTTTAGCCATTATATTTTTAAATTCTTTTTTTGTGCAATAATTTTCAGAAGGAACATATGTTTTCTTTAGAATTTGTACTTAAGTTCATTTACAAATAACGCTGGGTATTCACTATAATATCGCACAGACAGTGCATGACTAAAATTCAGTACACAAAGAAGCATGTATTTTTTAACCAGCTGCCAATTCGTAAATTGAAGTTATCCTTCGTTATCTTATATGATACGTTCATTAGAAGTCAGAACATTAAATTTTGTCTGTTAAAATATTTGCAGTAGTTACCTATATGATGTTTATAGGTATACTACGAATTATATGCGATAATCTTACATACCTATTTAACCTAATTCATACCTGATCGTACAATGTACCTAACCTGACCTATACCGTAACAATCGTGTATTTTAACACATAGCGTATTTTTTTACTTATTTCATATCATAATTGTAATTTTAAAAAAACGATTGTTCTTGGCAAACACGTAATATCATGGAAATAATTATTGAATCATAAATTCATATTATTATTTTTCCAGGGGGTAGGCAAGTTTCCCGTCTTGCCCCCCCCCCCCAAACTGGCACCAACGGTTGGAGCCAACGTTCGGAACATTGTGTAGCAACACCTTGTCTGTTCGTTCGCTCGCGACGGGCTCACACCTCTATACATTGCGCCCCTGTCTAACCGGTACATTTTGCTTGTGTGTTTCAGGTTTTGTGTGCGGCCAGACATGTTGGAAACAGTAACCACGGAGAAAAAAATCCCGCCGCCGCTACCACCCAAGACACGCCGGGGCTGTCTGAAGAACGTTGATGGTGGCGGCGGCGGCGGCGGCGGCGGTGGCGGAGCTACGATCCTTTCCAACGGTCACGTGGTAAAAATCCGAATAGACCCGATGATGGGCGACGGTGGCGGCCGCGCTCAGAGGGACGACGAAACGTGCCGGGAGAAGATCGTCGGCCGCCGGTCCAGCACGGTCAAGATAAACATCACTTGCGTGGACCCGTTTGTGTTCCGCCGGCACTATAATGACGCAGAAGACGACGCGGACGACGACGACCACGACGTGGACGTCCGGCGCACGTCGACAGGCCACCAGTCGCCGTTGGACAGCGGCACCGGCAGCGACCTCGACACCGGTAGCCGCCGGGACGAGAGCGACGACGGCACGTGCAGCTGTGACTCGCTGACCAGCAGCACGGCGGACGCGGCCGAGACGGTGGCCGCGACCACGGCGACTGTTATCGATGGGCTGGTCGCGACCGCCGCTCCGCCGGTAACCGTGACTGCAGCAGCCGTGGCCGTTGGGGTGGCCGCTGGTGCAGGAATCGTAACCAAGGCGTCAGTCGCTACGGTGGTCGAAGAGTTGCCGAAACGGTCGTCCCCGCCAGCGATTCACATCCAACAGCGGTGCTACGGCGACTCGACCGTAGCGGCCGCGGCGACCACGGCCGACCGCGTCATCGACATGGACAACACGGACCAGTACTACGACTTTCACATGAACGAGAACGTGTTCGACGAGGTGGACGCAGCTGCCGCGGCGGCTGCGGCCGCTGCCGCTCAGCCGGCCGACGATACGTTTGCGGGGTGCAAGACCGCGGCCGCGTCCGACACGATACGCAGCGCGAAGGGCACGATCAGGGGCGTCAAGAACCGCGTCAGAGCCGGCATAGCGACGTTCTTACAACCCAAGACTAACAAGGTAAGTCGCGCTCGTGAACTCACGACGATTGTCTACCGACTTATCACGTTCTCTAATCTTACGTTCCCACCCCGGTGAAAGTCCCGACTGAAATAGTAGCGCCAAAAATCGATTTTTTTTTTTTTTTTTTTTTTGTCACCTGCACCGAATGTTTGGTTTTCGACCGCAGTTGAAGCGTCGGACCTTTGTCCGTCCAGCGGGCCGTGAATTGGGGATCCCCTTAGTACCAAGTAGTGAACGCAGTGGCGTGGCGAAATCAAACATTTTCAGAAGCAAATATATTTTGTCGATACCAACCTACCCCCCAAAAAATTGAAGGCCGGCTCGATTACGAACGTATTCCCAACACGACCAGAAATTGTAATGTATACCGCGGTTCTTGCAAAACATAAACTTTCTGTCAGATCTTTTACTCATTTATTATAAGTGCATATGTTACTACGTAGATCCCTACATGTTATTTTTTCCGCGAAAAACGCGGGGGCACGACGTCTTGGGCGAAATGCGGTCTTCGCTAGCGAGTCGTTCCGCACACGATGCCCGCGATCGAAAAAGCTTACTACCCTCCCTTGCCGCAAAACATACTGTTTCCGAAACGGTCCCGGACGACTTCTCCCCCTTCTTTCGTTCCCCCACTTCTTCCCCGAAAAATGGTCGTCATCGCTAACAATAAATATATATATATATATATATTAAACAATAAATTTAAATTTTTTTCGCTGGAGGGCCCGACAGAAAAACATGCCCACTCTTGGCGCGGCAAGTGTCCAACACTAAATATAGGGTGAGTTAGTTCACAAGACAAATAGAATAATAATAGTAGAATGTATAATAATTAAATAAATAAATATGTATAAATGTTGATATGCTGCCTGGTTAGCACAACAATAATTAAACTTGGTAACATCAAACAAATAAATACATAATTTAATGTTGACCCTTCAGTGGCACAACTAATAATTAAACAATAATACAATAATAAAAATAATATTAATCATATTAATGAAAGACTACACTTCTTGGCCCTACAGTGGCACAACCCCAAAAATATAAAACTAATTTATAATATCCTGATTGGCACACAATAGAGCCGTCGGTCTCTACATTAAAAATGCACTATTGGTCGACCATACTTACATGTAGCTGCGTTCGGTGGCGGATTTCATCCAGACACGACCACACTGGGAAACGTACTCAAAAAAAAAAAAAACAATATAAATGATAAATAAATGTGTACACCCCTACGTGCGTGCGACCACCAAATCACAGCAAAAAGATGAATTCACGAGTCAGCAGCAAAACACAAACACAATTCGAAATTGTGTACTCGCAATGACCGCTGGTAGATATACCTGAAAAACCAAATACCACACGGTCAAACAGGAACACAACACAACAACGTAGTTTCACAAGAAATTGACTGCAGACGATGACCAAATCGGGATTCGATGTGCACACCTTGAAGACAAAACGGCGAGAGCGAGCTAGTGTTGACGGCAATCACCACGGCAAGGCTACGGCCGCCGGAATGAAGATAAAACGTTTTGGTGTCGCCACCAAAAAAAATTATAACGATCGAACTTTTGTGACACCGAGAGCATGACTTTAGGAAATGCGCGAAACACAACCAAACATTTACGCGCGATGCGTAACAATACGTACCCGGCCGGTCGCACACAATGGCAGCGGACACGCAACGAACCTCTACGCATCGCGCGAAAATTATAACGTGAACTTCAAACAAAAAAAAAAAAAAAAACAAAAGCTACCGCGGGCGCTAACCACCCGACCGCTTCGATCACTACCGCGTTTCCGTGTTTCACCGCGACCATCGTCTGCATTCGCATTTGTGGTACCACGAAAACAACGGACACGGCGAAACGCAATAAGACCAATTTCGTTTGCGGTCGTACGATCTCCCGACCGCCGCAACGCTTCTCCGTCGGCCGTCCCGTGAGAAACCGACGGCACGTTCGCGGTGCGCCGCCGTGGTGCGTTCCGGTGTGCGGACGAGCGCGTGCCACGACGACCGCGTACCGTTTTCGTCGGGATCTCTCGTCGGTTGTGTCCGCGAACCGTGAGAACGGCGGCGCGCGAAAATACTTTTCCAGCGTTTAACCGCATACGGTACCATGGTAACGCGGGCGTGCGACAGTCGACCGAAGCTTTCGCTCCGAAAAAATAACGACGTGACGTGACGTCCACATGACGTGTCCACCAATGGGCGCGTTTGGAAGCGTTGGATGCACGGTTCACGGAGCCCCCCCCTCCCCGAAATCCCTTCTGATTTTACCTTTATCCCTTCCCACTGCGATCCGTTCCAAACGCGCATTATAGCATTTGATTTAATATAACAACAATAATTAATAATAATGGTGTAAACAAGTGCCTTAGTCCGAAAGTTTTCACGTGGGCCGCTGATTGTCTTGTTAAACGTTTAAACGTTACCGTCCGTAAACAGCAGCGTCACCGTGAACGGATAAAAATCGTGAAGTGATTACCGACACGGTAATATCGACCGACGAACAAGACTAAGACAAAAAAAAAAAAAAGAAAATAAATTCAAATATTTTAAAATTTCTCTCCGTCCGAACCGAAGCAACACGCGTTCGATTAAATGTCGTGCACGAAAGTCGCGCGCACGAACACATATGTAACACAAGTGCGTCTCCTGTACATGATGGACTGTGCACTGGTATTTGTGACCGGTTTTTTGGTTTTTTTTTTCAAATTTCGTTACATAAAACCGCCAATTTTTTTTAACTTTTTTTTTTCTATACCAATTATTATAACATCAAAAGCGAAACGCTTACCAGTTGTTGGACAAGTAAAACGATGATTGCGACACCGAACAGTAATAATTACAGATATTTCGATTGCCGCGCCGGATGAATAAAATAATGTGGGTTAAATATTTATCTAACGAATCGCGACCGGAATGTGCCAGTTGAATATATTTGTTTGAAAAAAATTTCTAAATTATATTTCAAGAATACATAACGTAACGGTTTATTGAAAACTCATATTTTCTTAAGATGATTTTCGCATAATGACAGTTTAATTAAAAAATCATTGGGCATAACGTGCGGTATTGCACATCAATTTCCATGTTCTCGGTTGGCTGCACACGATTTACGTCGAATGTAAATCGTCGGGTTGATAACATTTGACAACGTCGAGATGTCCATAAATTATTAGATACGTTACTAAATTATATTAATAATTGTTTTAATTAAAATCGTAAATCGAAAAAAAAAAATCGAATTATTGCATTTAAATATTTATTTTTATTTTTTTTAAAAGCCTCAACAAAAGAGGCTCTAAATATTTACAACATTTAGGTACTATACAACATTTTTACAATATTACAATATTATCTTTAGGGGTAACCACCACGTTTTTTTTTTAACAAAAACTACCGTTTCTAATTCCAACACTACATGTCGACAATTATCACGATTTTCATTCTGAAAAAATATACGGATTCTCCGTAATATGTATAAGGAAACGATCGAGCTGTATTTTTAATTTTTGTAATTTAAATTACCATAAATATTGTTGAAAATTCAAAAAAATTCAGAATTTCAAACTTAAATATTAATATTTAATTAACTAAATACAATTTTTAAAATGTGCCTCCATCGATCCTTCGTACATGTTGCTAAAAAAATGAATGTTTTATCAGAATGGAACTCGAGATAATCTTTGCGACGTATTGTTTGAATTAGAATCGTAAGAGTGAAAAATAAACATATTTTCGCGATCTCAATATTACGTTCTGACATGTGCGTGCGAGAGCCCTCCGTACCGCGTCAAGATAATGAACCTATAAAGTGAAATATAATTAGATACGTTATTTCGTGGTATCCTATAATAATGTTAGCAAACAGTAATATTTCCGTGTCCTGATAATAATATTATATACCTGAGCGATTGTAAAATCCACCAGAATAAAAAGGTAAAAAAAGGTCTTATGTAAACTCCATTAGTTTATTTTCCTTACCTGTAATGGGTATACGTAAACTCCGTCAGTTTTTTTTTTGTATTATGTCTGTAAATCTTTTCATAAAATTTAAGAAATTAATTGTATAAAAGTCAACCGAATGTTCTTATTTTTAGTAAAGTTCTTACCGAATTTCAAACCCATACTTATGCAGTGCAGTAACAAAACATTTCGTTATGATTATCAGAGTTCGTATTTTGTAGGTATTTTCTTTTTTTCCTATTAGGCTAAAACTAACCAATGTAAGATTTAAATGGAATTTGTTGTTTTTCCTTATACACCTATTATTTTTTTTTTTTTTTTTTATATTACAGCCTTTATGTTAGGTTCCATATACTTTTGTCGTAAAGGTGACCGAGATTTAACGATTTATATACTTTAAACTCTAACAGGCAGGATAATTTTTTCCTGTTAATATGTCGACTAAATTTGAATACCTAAACAAAAATAGTACAAAATACTTTGCACTGCAAACTATTTGCAGCTATTTTTTTTTATTAATTACTGTTATACATCAAAAACATGGGTACCTAATTTTCCATTAACTATAATTCAACAAATATAGTATACTGAGATAATGATTACGATGAACGACTACGATGTTGGTGCGGAAAGAAGCGGTCCCCGCATTGATGCCACACTATACATTAATAATCATTTACAACTAATACATAGATCTCGGGTGGCGACGATGAGATTAGAAATTGTCTAAATGTTGCTTCTTAAATAAATGCTATAGCGAGGCCCCTTAATATGTACAAAAAAAGATGAGAGGAAAAGATAAAGAAAGAGGACAATTGAATTATTAACTATTATATAAGATTATAAAGTTTGGTTATTTTAATAAAAGTTAAATTTTGTTGTAGTTTTCTTGATCAAGTCCGAGTGCTTCGTATAGGTGCTCTGATATGCTTAAAGATATTTTGATATCTGCATTATTACTATATTATTGAAAAACGTGTTTGACTTTAATACGTATCGTTTTGGTTGTAGAGCA